GCAATCGTGACGCCATTGTTACTAATTGTAGGATCATTTAAGTTACGGTCTTGCACCAACCTCATGTGACATACCATCCTCAAAAGATTTCATAAAAACCATTCAGCCAATCTCGAGTTATCATTTACGTGCATACGGTCATTACCGGGCGGTTGGGTTCATTTCGACAAGGTTAGATTAGGTTGAGATACGTTAGGTTAGGTTAGATTTGGTTGCGCAGAAGGTTATTGCGCATTGGCTTATTTATCTGAGGGTTAGTCACGCAAAGAATTATCATTTATAGGAACACTTAAATTAAGTTTTGCACTCATCTCCCGTGGCATTCTATCCATGTAAAATTTCATAATATTCCATCAAACCATTCTCGAGTTATAATTTTCGATCATCCGATCGTTAACCGAGATTGGTGATATTCGTCTAGCTTAGGTAGGTTAGGTTAGGTTTCCGCAGTAGGTCATTGCGCATTGGTGTATTCACCATCCCACTTCGCGTTTTTGAGCATAAGTCACTCAAAAATTAACATGTATAGGAACGTTTAAATTACGGTTTTGCCGTAATCCAATGTGGTATACCATCTATGTGAAATTTCATGAAAATCCATCTAATCATTCTCGAATTATGATTTTCGCGCATCCGATCATCACCCGAGGTTGGGCATTTCGGCTAGGTTAGGTTAGGTTAGGTTAGGTTTGCGCAGTAGGTCATTGCGCATTGGTTTATTCACCGTCCCACCTCACGACTTTGAGCTTCTGTCACGCAAAAATTAATATTTATTTGAATGTTTAAATTACGGTTTTGCACTAATCTCATGTGGCATACCATCCATGTGAAATTTTATGAAAATCCATCTAACCATTCTCGAATTATGATTTTCGCGCATCCGATCATTACCCGAGGTTGGGACTTTCGGCTAGGTTAGGTTAGGTTAGGTTAGGTTTGCGCAGTAGGCCATTGCGCATTGGTTTATTCACCGTCCCACCTCACGACTTTGAGCATGTGTCACGCAAAAATTAACATTTATTTAAATGTTTAAATTACGGTTTTGCACTAATCTCATGTGGCATACCATCCATGTGAAATTTCATGAAAATCCATCTAACCATTCTCAAATTATGATTTTCGCGCATTCGATCATTACCCGAGGTTGGGATTTTCGGCTAGGTTAGGTTAGGTTAGGTTAGGTTTGCGCAGTAGG